CTGGCGCTAGAATTGAGCAGAGTTTTTGCCGCAGAAATTAGACTCAGGGTGGAGTCGAGCCCGTGACCTTCAGCACGGTAATCTTACATGGACCACTAACCACTTGACTAACTCTGCTCATATTGTTTTAAGTACTGCAGAGAAGAATTTTTTGTATATGTAGTTTTTCAACTTTCTTTGAAATTTTCATGCCGTCACAATAAATTTTTATAAGTGAACAAAAAGTTTACAAATCATTAATGTTACAAGAAGCATTAAAAGTTGTGATAATCTCAAGTCACCAAATGGTCACGTTTCAATGTGGACCTGGTCAAAGTGAGGCATTTATGAGCACATAGTAGCAGATAGAAGAGTCCACACGCTAAAAAATGCATTAATCAATTTTCAAAGTTAGAAACATAGGGAAGATTACTTAGTACGACTATTGCAAAGCAGTCATTGAGTAAACTTACCAAATTATGATCGCTATAGAAAGCGGATTCAGCAGCTTTGCATTCTTTTGTAACATCAGTAATAGAGATGTTTTTAAAGCCACATGAGGTCATTCGCTATAACATAAGTCATTGATGTAAGCAGTTGTGCTTGGAATTTTATCTGGAAAATTTTCCAATAATCTACCTTGTGGATAGCCTGTTCGTCAACATAATCAACGGGCTCCAGCAGTACGAACGCAGCCCCTCGTTCCATAATACCCTATAACAATCAATAATCAATGATCAATAACAATAATAATCAATCCAGCATGATGACTTGCTTACTCTGAAGCAAAAAGCGATACTTTGTTGACATTTTCTCGGAGTCATTGGGCTCTATCCGAAATGATTTAGGCAAGGTTAATGATTATTTTATCGATATTTACTTTGAGAGCAATTTTGCTGGCGATGACTACGTGAGCACCATCTCCATAGTTTAACTTTTTCCCTATCGCATATTACTTATTTATGTACTAATACCTTCTTTCAGAGTCAGTTGACTCTTCTCGGCCACCGATTTAGCAGCAATATACCCACTATCGAAATGACGTCCACTTATTGGAATATCTTAGGATCGTTTTGCTGGCAAATAATGGGGGCATGTGTACCATCTCCATGATCACATTCTTTCAATATTGAACTCTAGTCATCAGTCACCAACAAGCTGTATATTTACATTGAATTTAGTCCAAAAGATCATATCCGGGTTATATATTAGCTACTCTTATTGTTAGTTTATGAAAAAATATGTGTTTTGTTCGTTTGTAAGGAACTCCACTAGGGTATTTTAGAATAACATAGAATAAAACAAATAAACAAGTACTTTTGATCAAATCAGAAGGTGGTTATGTAATCAAGGCTCTGTTAAGGCAGCATAATGGAATCCTTTTTTCATGCGGAGACTAATTGGGAGATCTCAACCAAGATATTGTCCACGCGGCAGCTCATATAATCCATATGCGTCGGAGAAGCACAGCTCTGTACTCTC